CCATCTTCCCTAGGTCCTTACTCTGCCCCATGTCCTGGAGCAGAAATCAGCCTGTCCACCGTGTGAGCTTGTGTGAAGCAGAATGAACCCGTGTGAACCTGTGTGAGCCCATGTGAACCCATCTGAAACAGTGTGACCCCATGCAAACCTGTGTGAGCCTGTGTGAACCTGTGTGAAGCAGTGTGAGGCCGTGTGAATCTGTGAGAGCCTGTGTGAATCTGTGTGAACCCATGTGAGCCCGTGTGAGCCCATGTGAACCTGTGTGAGCCTGTGTGAACCCATGTAAGACCATGTGATCCCATGTGAACCTATGTAAGTCTGTGTGAAACAGTGTGAGCTCATGTGAATCCATATGAGCCTGTTTGAACCCAGGTGAACCTGTGTGAACCCGCGTGAGGCCATGTGAACCTGTGTGAAGCAGTGTGAGTCTGTGTGAAGCAGTGTGAGCCTGTGTGAGCACGTGTGAACCTGTGTGAGCCTGTGTGAACCTATGTAAAGTGGTGTGAGCCCATGTGAACCTGTGTAAACCCGTGTGAGGCCACATGAACCTGCTTGAAGCAGTGTGAGCCTGTGTGAGCATGTGTGAAACCGTATGAACCTGTACGAGCCCATGAGAGTCTGAGTGAGCCCATGTGAGCCATGTAATAAGCCAGGACTGCTGCAGTGAGTGGTGGGCAAGCCCACCGGGGTGGGAGGACCTCACCTGTTCCTGGAAGGTGCCCCCCTTCCCAGTGAATCATCAGTAATTAAAGGAAGCCGCACAGGTGGTCAGGAAGCAAGAAATCCTTCCGGGAAATGAATGTTTGCAGAAATAATGGCCAGTGAAATTCAGACTTTACTTAAAAAGCAGGGAAAAGCCTTGTGTTGTAATCCTCTGCCTGGATTAGGCTCCTCCGTGAAACACAGCTGTCCGCAAGTGCTGTGAGGGGTCCCTGGGCTGAGCCCGCAGCCCACATGCAGATGGGAGGGGGCTGGAGAGAAGGGGCATGGCCAGGACCCCCAACCCGTGGCTCCCTGCAATGCCAGGTGCTGGCGTCTTCAGGCCAGAGCCCCCGAGCATGCAGCACCTGTGCTGAAGCACCCCCCAGAGGCCCACCCATCCCAGGGCAGAAAGCAGCCCTGTGGGAGACTCAACCTTCCAAAGGAAACTAACATGGTTGCTCAATCTGTGGCTTTAAATAATAAATCTGAGAATTATGAGACCAACTAAGACCAATCGAACAGCTGATAGGTTTTTGCATTTCTGTGAAGTTTTCTATCACTAATCAAAACCCGCCACAGAAACAATATCAACGAGACAGGCTGGCCCCTGCCCCCGGTTCCATGGCATGGAGCAAGGAGGGACAGCCAGAGGGACAGACACTTGGGGTTCAGGCAGAAATCTGGGAGTAAGAGATCAGGATATCCCAATGGGAATAGGAAGGGAGAGGATAGTATCCAAGGGCTGGCGAGCAGGAGGTGGCAAGGTCCCCCCAGGAGGAGACGAGCCCTGGAGAAGGAGAAGCCACTACCCAGGCTGGCCACCCTGAATGCCATTCAGAGGGATCCGCCTCTGGATCCACCTCTGGATGACGGCCTCCGCCCCTCCTCCCAAGTTCTGGTTTTACCTGTGCTGGGCCCCATCCCTCTCGACCCCTCCTGACTCCCCGCCAGGGAGCCGGTGATGGTAAAGCCCAGGACCAGGCACGGAAATGTGCTCCAGCATTGCTGCTAAGTGTCAGCATATGGGGCCATGAGTCCGTGGCTTGCTCCCTCTGTGCCTCGGTTTCCCCATTAACAAAAGGGCCCGTTTGAACAGGAACAAGTTCTCTCCCATCCTAAACATTCCATGAAGTTGGTGATCTGACAGGACTATGTGTAAAGTGTGAGTGACCACCCAGTCTCCACAGCCGGCCTGGCAAGGGGCTGGGTGCTCCCCTGCGTGACACCCTGCGGGTGAAGAAATTGAGGCACACAGACATGAGAGCCTGGCTCAAGATCACAGGGCCCATGAGAGGCAGAGCCAGAATGGAATTGAGGCAGCTGACAAACATGCGCACTCACACACGTGTGCATTCATGCACACACGTGCACACATGCTCACTCACACGTGCACACACTGTTCACAACCCCCCCATTTCATGACCATATCCTGTACTACACCCCATCTGTACTCCACACCCCAGCTGCCCCTCTGCCCGAGCCTCTCCT